ATACAGAGAAAAACCCAACAATCATATGACCCCCTATGAGCAAGCACTTTGGCGACAGTGGGAAGGAAAAACTCCCTTTTAACAGGAAGAAACCTCTGGCAGAACCAGGCTCAGGGAAGGGCGGGGCCATCTGTTGGGGTAAGAGAAGGATGAAAGACATGCTATGGAAGAGAGACAGAGGTTAATAACAGATATGATTCAATGCAGAGAGGTCTATCAACGCATAGTGAGTGAGAAAGGTGACTGGAAAGGAAAAACTCAATGCATCATGGGAATCCCCAGCAGCCTACGTCTATTGCAGCATAACTAAGGGAGGATTCAGGGTCACAGTTTTTAATACAGTTTTTCCTGTATTAATTTGACCTTATTGTTCATTTTGAACTGACAACAGTGTGTTTGTTGCTTTTGATGTCCATGTCAAGTTTGGTCTTAAATCTTATTAATTAGGACTTGAATAGTAATACGTTTAACTTAACAGTATTAATTAAGTAAAAGCATAAACTGATTTGATTATAGCATCTGGAATCAAACCGTTTTCTCTGCTTTGTCCTGACAGTGTTTCATGAACAGTATCCTGCAGTGTCTTAGCAACACACAAAGCCTGCGAGACTACTGCCTGCACAACTCCCACCGCAGAGACCTTAACAACAACAGCCGCACCAACACAGCCCTCATGGAAGGTGAGAGACATGTCACACAGGCCCCTTAGAGTCCAAAACAAACTCTCCTCACAGCGGTCCACCAGCAGCACACTCATTCCCCCCTACCCCCCGCATCTCTGTAAGATTTGCACATTTCACCTGAAAGCATGTTAGAAGAGGTAAAAACAAGAGTGGTTTTCTTGGTCTTTTAAGAGTTTGCATGAAAAAGAGTCCTACCTTCATTTCATTCCACTGTGACACAAGCATTTTACGTCCCAGCATGTGTGAATAACCTTAGCTGCTGCTGTGTTGGTAGAATTTGCCAAGCTGCTACAGACCATGTGGACATCATCCAGCAGTGAGGCTGTCAGCCCGTCCGAATTTAAAACACAGATCCAGAGATATGCTCCCAGATTTGTGGGATACAAGTAAGCTTTGTAATCATTTTATTTTTTATTTTCTGTTTTTTTGTGACCTGATTTTGATTTTCATAGCCCTAACTGTTTTGGTGTATCACAGCCAACAGGATGCTCAGGAGTTCCTGCGCTTCCTCCTGGACGGCCTGCACAACGAGGTCAACAGGGTCACTGTGAGGCCGAGAGGCACTGTGGAGGACTTCGACCACCTGCCGTGAGTAATCAGACCGACACGTGCGCGTGTACCTGCACTGAGTCACACTAACACTGTTTTGTTTTGTTTTTAAAAGTGGACTTTGTTAGCTGGAGATGAGGATGTGTTTGGAAGTTTCACAGATGAACAGTACAACTGTTTATTGTATTTTATTAGAGTTTTTACTCATACGTAACCAGCCTGAATCACATTAGCTTAGTAATTCAAAAACATCAGGGCCAAATCTCTGAATAGGTTATGTGCAGCGTACAGTATGAATACAAGCCCCAAACCAAGACAGCACTAATCACTGAGGCCTCATCATTAATCTTTAATTCAAGGCCATGTGCAATAGTTTCACCTCCCATGCTGATTTGTTTCCTCTCTAGGGGCCACAAGCACTTAATGCTCCAGTTTTTCATTGATATAATTAACAGTTATCTAACCACGGTTTGTTTAAGGGTCAGAGTTAATTCCAGCAACTTCCAGTATTGCCCTAAAAACACATCCTCTCTGCTGCACTGTTAAAACTGCAGGAAAATATCTGCACACAGCATGAAAAAGTGTTTCACAGGAGGAAGTGTTTCTGTAAAGCATCTTTTTAATCCCCTAAAATGGTTCTTGGACACCTTGGTAGTTAAGATAAATTAGGCCAGGTTCTCTTGTTGCTTTTTGTTATTTTTGAAACCCTTTTACAGTGTCACAACAGCTCAGTATGATTTCCCCCATCTTAGCCATCTTCCTAACTATCAGCTGCCTGCTGGGGGCTCAGGCATTACATATGTACATGAAGTGTAAGCCTTACACTTCATGTAAGGCTTACACTTTCTAACTTCTAACTCATACTCCCCCCTCAGAGATGAGGAGAAAGGGAAGAAGATGTGGAGTAAATACCTGGAGCGAGAGGACAGTAAGATAGTAGGTGAGTAAATGGGCTGCAGCTCAGTTTTATTTGTCACCAATGTGAAAATTCACCTTGCACATACAAGACATAAACAGAACGTGGTTAAATGGAAATGAAAAGGAAGATAAACTTTCTCATCTGTTTCTTTGATGTACTCTTTGATCTGTGCTTCTCCAGACCTGTTTGTGGGACAGCTGAAGAGCTCATTGACCTGCAGCCACTGTGGTTTCTGCTCCACTGTCTTCGACCCATTCTGGGATCTCTCTCTGCCTATCGCCAAGGTTAGAGCACAGACTCACAGGTCCAGACAGGGACCTGTGTTTGTCCTTCTTACGTAACGCGTACCAGAAGGGCAGCAGACACAAATGTCAGCACAATCAGTGTATGAGTGTGTGGGTGTGTGTGTGTGTGTGTGTGTTTTATGATGATTTGCACTAAATATTGAAACACTTCCTGTGTCCACAGCTCCTAATATGAGCTTCTTCATTTCTTTCCTGTCTCTATTTGTTTTTGCTTCGTGTGTGTGAATGTAATGTGAATGCATCTGTGCTCAGAAGGGCTATGGTGAGGTGAGTCTGATGGACTGCATGCGACTCTTCACCAAAGAAGACGTCCTTGATGGGGATGAAAAGCCGGTAGGTGTTCACTGCTTGCACTGACAAAAAGAGCTTATGATAATCACCACTTTGACTTCATACTTTTCCTATCCAGTGTTGAGTTAGCACAGCTAACACAGAACATGAAATTTGTTTTATTTGTGCGTATAAGAGTTTATATTGTTTACTTTATAATTAAGCTAATTTCAGCTCCTTTTTTATTCTTAGACGATGACAGAATTGCATGATTCACAATTTAAAATAATCCCTATTAACATATACAGGGCTCGTTGCTGCCCCTAACTCAGTTGAGTTGATCCTCTGTTTGAAACAAGCTGCTTTAGTTCCTGTCCTTTTACGTCCACCCTTTCACTTCTATATTATTGGCTGCCCCTCGCCTGGCTTTAAGCCATTAAAAGAAGCCATAAGACTTCCTCCTGAACTTGCAATTGTAGGATTTCCAAAACCAAACTGCAAACCTAGCATTCAGTTCAATTTTATTTTTACAGCAACAGTTGCCTCAAGGCACTTTATATTGTAAAGTAGACCATACAACATAAATACAAGTAAAAAACACAATTCTCAAAACAAATTCATACTTTGACACACAAAGTGCACAACAATATGTTTACATCTGAATGAATCATAAATGACAGTAGAACTGTTTTTACAAATGTAAAGGTGTTGTTGGTCATGTTTAATGTGAGCATCCAGCAGTGTGACAGGACAAATATAAAAATAAGAAAAAACTGTATTTCTTCAGAAACTCTTCATATACATGTAATTAGAGGAGTTACACTGCCCTACAAAGGCAGAGCAAAGTAACTGCAGAAGCAGCAAATTTAGGAAAACTGGTTTGGAATTTTCCTGTTCAACAACAAACTGTAAAATGCTTATAAAGTAATTCAAATTAAAAAATTCCTCCCACAGAACTTACACAGCATCTAAAAGGGAAACTATCTATAAACTGCAGTTTGTTTTATGCTCAGTACAAATGTAAGCTGCACATAGATGGTCAGAGATAGTTTAGACTGAGTGAGTAACTTGTGCTTTTTATCTTGTGTGGTGGTTCCTCTATGATTCCTGTTCTTAAACACTGACTGATCTTATTCTGTTTCTTCTCAAAGACGTGCTACAGATGTAAAGCCAGGAGGAGATGCACTAAAAAGTTCACAATACAGAAATTCCCCAAGATTTTAGTGCTGCGTATCCTTTGCTTTATTCATCACCTGCTGTGATGCTGTGCTGAGGCATGTGGGGTAGCTGAATGCTTTATTGAGATTTTATGACTTACTGCTTTGTATTCTGTTCTACTGAATTGCAAAAAGTGTTTTTCTAGTAATTAGCTGACCCTTAGCTATTCTGTTGCAGCTATGACAATAGCTGCAATAGAAAAGTGCTGTGAACAGTTAGCAGCAGACAGCCATGGAGGCAGGAAGTTGTCATGTCTGTAAGCCCAACAGTATAATTAAGTGAGTGAGCGCTGACAGTGCACATGATCAGATGTTTTAACGAGCTGCTAATTGGCTGTTATGAATTTGTCAAGTCACTGAGGTGATGGATGTGTCATTCTAAAGCCTCAGTGGAGTGAAGCCGTTCCGAGTAGTCATGTTGAATGTTGGCTTGATGTACAGTTTACTGTATGCAGAGCATCTGTTCCTTGACTCCCTTTCCTCTAAAGACCTGAAGCGCTTCTCTGAGGCACGAAGAACCAGCAAACTGTCCACATTTGTTAACTTCCCCATGAAGGATCTTGACCTGCGGGAGTTTGCCTCTGAAAACAGCAGTAAGTAATGAGCTTGTACTCTCCACGAGTGGACTGCCACAGAACGCTATGTTTACACTAAATGTAGAACTTTTCTCTCTGGCTCACAGAGAAGTTTATTCAGTGTTTAGGTGTGAGCTAGTTTCTGCCTTTGTGCTGTGAGGCAGCAGTTCAAGCCAATGCCCCAGATCTACAACATTAAAATAATGGTTTCTACATGAAACTATTCTCCATTCAGATTTTTTTCTAGTTCCATTATACTTTAATGGAGTATAATGGAAATAGATGGCCCCATATTCAAGTCATGGCCCATTGTGGTGAGCAATCACTACAGGCTATTGAGACAATATCTAGATTTGATTTTTGGGTGAACTGTCCCTTTAAACATGTGTTTTGTCACCTTGCAGTAAATGCAGTGTACAACCTGTACGCAGTGTCCAACCACTCAGGCACCACTATGGGCGGCCACTACACAGCCTACTGTCGCAATCCCAGCTCGGGAGAATGGTACACGTTCAATGACTCCAGGTAGGTTTGCCACAAATCTCACACAGACACACACATACACTTAGTGTTACTATGACAGTTCACTGTTCGTGTAGAAGATCATAGGAGCTATGTGGAGAAGTCAGCTCGTTGATAATGATAATTTTACAGGCTGTTATTGCTCTCACAAGCACACAAACACCCCCTGGCTAAGATAACAGAGTTGAGGAGTGATAGTAAGAGTTGCGGGTAGAGCAGGGCGATAAGGCCAAAAATATTTATCACGATATATATTTGAAAATTTGCGATAACGATATAACTGA